GAGAACATGTAAGGTCATTAGCGAAGTCTACACGTGAAACCCTTTTCAAACCCTTTACGGTACAAACAATATATTAACAAGTAGCTAATTATTCACTTGTTATTTTAGTTGTACATTTAGTTTTCACGGTGGTTTAAGGAATGTTTACAGCCATTATTCTTGGGTATTTCGGCCTCATAGTTTTTGCCATTGGACCGTTTGATCGGGAAACACTCTTATTCTTGGAATTAATATCAATTTGGCTGCAGCAATATTGAAATCAATCTACAGATGTAATACATATAGGATTTATTTTTCATAGATAGCATTAAATTTATTTCAACAATAATATTACTTGACGCTGTTAAGTTTACAGTAAAGGATTAACTTACAACTTTAATAAGAAAGAAATTCTGTACAAAACTGATGTCGTTTGTAACAATCCTCTTACGAGAAACTTGTGTTGTAAGTGCTTGAATGTCCGTTTGTGTTATTTTGTGAAATAAAATTTACAATCAGAGACACTTACGCTCTTTACGTCACTTCGTCTGCATGGAATTAAAAAAAAATAGTAATTAGTATGTTCTTCCAGAATAGGTATGTTTTATATTTGTGCCTTTCATTGAGATTATTTAAGCCATTTTGGAAAAAAGTAACAAACTTTTGTGTTCATTATCATCAGCAAATAGTGTCTGTGTCCAGTAAAGTGAAAAATGTGAAATGTTTAAAAAACAAATAAACCTTGAGATAGAAAACTAAATTGACTGAAAAAAGTTTGAAACGTTTCAGAAGTTTGGTAAAATACATTTTGTATTCATCAGTGTTCCAAATGTTTACTAACGACTTTCCAACTTTTGGCTTCAATTCAAATTTCAATACGAATAAAACTATTTGGACTTCAACGCGACGGACTTCTGTTACATTTATAATGGATTTTTTATCTGTTCAATGCCTAATACTTTTGGTACAATTTTTTAAAGTTTATAAATCATGTAAATCCATACGTAACATTCATGGGCAGCGGTCGTTTACCATTTTAGCGGATTCAGCTGGCCGCTTGCTCGTTTGCCACCTTATGTTATAAAAAAAATCTGTTGATAGTCTTCAGTCAACGCACGGCTGGCGCATATTCTTATTCGTTGAATTTCTCATTACAATATTTCTTAAATATTAAATAGTTAGTCTATGTACAAAAACTACCGAATTTCGTCCGCGATACCGTCCGCGTGAAATTAAAAACAAAAGTGAGTAGCCTATGTGTTCTTTCCGACTATTCTTTACATCTATATCATCGAAATCCATTCAGCAGTTTAGGCTACAAACTCTAGCAAACATCCATCCATCTAAACTTTTTCTATAATACTAGCTTCTGCCCGCGACTCCGTCCGCGTGGTATGAATAAAAACAAAATAAAGTAGCCTATGTGTTCTTCCAAACTATGCTTTAAACCTGTGCTAAATTTCATGCAGATTCGTTCAGTCATTTAGGCTGTAAACGCTATCAAACATCCATCCATCCATTATTTCTAACAGTTAGTAATAAAATTAAATGTTACTTTAACGTCGGTCGTTGAGCAAGCATCATGTGGTCATAAAGCAGCGGACGCGCGGTGCCTACGTGATAAGGGCAGGGTGATATAACAAGGTCATACAGAAAACATCAACATCCTATGCACCGTAATGTCGTCCTAATGTGTTGTGCTCTATTTTGTTAACTGAAATAAAAAAGATTTTCGTAAACGTTATATTTTAGGGATAAAAGAAAAAAGATACTGAAATATTTATTAATATTCCATTTTACTCAAACAACAGAGTAATCTGCATTACTGATCTTTTAACCAATGAATATATCGTTTAAAATTAATTAATTTAAATGAGGTCATTTAAGATTTTAAGACATAAAAAAAATGAATCACGCTGTACAATTAGCGATTCAATCGTTACAAAGAATATTTTTCATTACTAATTGGTCATTCAAGTGAGAATTCTCGATAATTTCCAAATCAATAAAACATATTAGTTTAACGTTTTCAATATAAATGTATCTGAATTATATTTGTTGTGCCCGAGAGACCGCGCCGTTACCGTGGACGAAGACGGCACGCGAAGAAAATAACCGTGAAATTGCCGCGAACTGACGCGATGAATTCAATTTCGACTCCCAGGAAAATTAAATCTACTTATAAGAAAACTTGGTTATTTGTTTTTGATCAAAATCTACAATCAATATTATAAAATAGGTTTTACGAACAAATATTCAATTAATCTCCAGTTTCATTAACATTTTTTGTTGAAATTTACAGCCTGTGCAGTAGAATGATTTTTTTTTTATATTATGAGGTGGTAAACGAGCAAGCGGCCACCTGAATCCGCCAAAATGTCGAAGTGACCGCTGCCTATAGACATTCGCAATAGCGGATGCGTTGCCTACCCTTAATCGACGGGGGAGGAGACGCACATAAAGATGTTTCCCCTTCCTATGCGTCTCGTCCGCCGTCAAATCGACGTTCCCTTCCCAACCTATTCTTATGAGAAAAAGGGTGAGAAGGAAAAGGGACTAAAGTTGTACCTCCGAGCTATTTTTAATATTTTATTTTATCGGTTAATCTGTAGAATTATAAACATATTAATTATTCTATATGTAGGCAACTACAATAACAAGAGAGTAGTAAATAAATCAGTACATAAAGAGTAAGTAAATATATTATTATAATGGATTCAATGCACTGAGCGGTTCAATCGCCCTATTCGAATGCTTATTTATAAAGCACTATAAATTGCCCTCGTCTGGCGCCATAACTAATTTTCAATTGAGCGTAAATTACGATTCAACGACTATTGAAAAAGTGCCATTTACGACTGAACTGAATAACTGAACGGGTGAACTATTATTTTCAGTCATATTATTATTATAATAATATATTTTGCCTTGACATTAGCCCTATAATTCGATATTCGATCGAAATTTATATCTAACATACAGATTAAAAAAGTCGCTCAATCAATGTCTCATGTAAAATCGGCTTAATCAACCCTATAGTAGTAACAATAAAATGTTTACCTCAGGATCAAGGTTTTAATTTTTGTTTTTACTAACGTTCATTTCCATAACAAAGACTGGCTTATATGAGGTCAAAGCAAAGTTTATACACCAAACACAATGCTTTATTATCCAAGTTAGTTATATGTTCACAAAGGCAAAGAGACACCAACATTAAAACGTATTATCTCTTTGATAATCGTAGCATTATAAAACACAACACTGGTATGTAAATAAAAAATCTGTGCATTATAGTTATTTCTTTATAGAAAGCAGCTCTTAGTACTCTTGCAGAGTAAGTCCTCACATAACCTTGTCTCTTCCTCAAAAGATAGAGTACGTTTAGATTTCCTCACCATACTATGGAAAAGCTTCTTGCCTCCATAGCTTCCGCTCACGACTTCGTCCGCTACGAATTTTTTTAGTTGTAGCCTATGTGTTCCTTTAAACTATATTCTACATTTGTGCCAAATATCGTCAAGATCCGTTCACCAGTTTAGCATCTATCCATCCAAATTTCCCATTTATAATATTAGTAGGATCAAAGGTTTTAGTTTCCATGACTATGTTTGTCTTTGGAAATGACTTAAACTCTATTGCTTGGAGTAAAAAAGCTTGGTTGTTTAATCAGTAACAATTTATCTTGTGATAGCAGTAAAAGCCATTAGTATCGTGTACACAAGCAACCCTTTTCAACGTCAAAGCATCATTTTACCGCAAACAAGCCGCTGAAATAAAAGTACTTTAAATTTGTGGAATTACAGTAGAGTACACAAAATTATGTGAATAATCGTTTTTTGAACCTGTGAGTTCCATTGAGAAAATAGATACACAAAACTACAGACATCTGTCGCTTTGTAAAAATAGAGATAACAATATGTTTGGGTATATGCAATGATTAGGCGAAATTGCGAGCAAAAACTAGTTTCAAATAAAGTTCCGATATTACTTGTCAGCAGTATGTAAAAATATTTCATACGTTTGATGTAAGTAAAATAAGAATGTAACGAAAAAAGAAGTTTCCCACCTAAACATAAAAGTATGCGAGACATTTTATTGACGTGTCAAATACGTGACTTGTTTTACGAGTCATGACTTCCTTTCAGCGTGATTGTTTCCGTTCTATTTATTGTATTCGAATATGTTTCATGTGAATACCTTGTACTAAGAAAAAACAACGAAATAGCACAATAAAATTATTAGAGCGGGCGCACACCTTTGACTTAACTATCGCACGTTGTGCTATTGTCGCAGCCAATTCAACTGTTTAGTTACACAACTAAAATCGAGTAGTATGTGCTCCTCCATATAAGGTCATAGGAATCAAAGCAAGTCTAAACAGTTATGCGATAATAAGTTTCAGTTCTACGCACACTCTTAGTCTCTACCAACATTGTAGAAAATAAAAGATTTGCATTTGTGTATGTATTGGAATAACTGCATTTTTTTTAATTCCACACGGACCAATTATATTATTTCATATCAAAGAGTATGAATTTCAAATGATGCCAGATTTAACTAAATAAGGAAAAAATATTTTAGTTCCATTTGGAGCGAGGAAAAATGAAGATTGAAGAAATATTAAAGTGATTCAAATTTTTTTTACATCGCTATAAGAATCCGCTGAAACTGAAATCTTATTGGATTTCCGCACTTCGCTCCGGCACCTTCCGGAGAGAATTTATAATTTAAGCAGACTACGGCGGCGCGATACTTTCTTTGAACAAGAAATTTTCATCGAACGTGTCAGAAATTTAAATTTAAAATCTTAAAATATCCTTTTCAATCGCAATATTTAAAATAAGAACGTATTGATGGAATTGAATAAAGCGTTTAAAAAAATATTCTTAATTACGTTATAAAAATTACTATAGATTTTAAAATAAAACACGTAATTCATTTGATATTTGGTCTTTTATTATAAAATTCTATACACAAAATAGTTTGATAATATACAATTTTAACTTAAATAATTCTTTATTGTTGATTTTATATCACATATGGCTTCAGAAATTTTGAAATTCTATGAAAACTTGAAATTTACTGTCTTAAGAAAGATTACAGTTGTCAATTACAAGTAATGATTATTTTATTTATATGACTATTTACAAAAGATAAAAAACGTATAAAACTCGTAAAACATATACTTTTTTAAAGTTTAATAAGATATTATTTATAATATGAAAAATGTCCAAATAAAGAGTGACTAAAACTACAGTTACTATGGCCATAATTTATGAAAATTGATGGACTGGACTTAGCTTATTGGTATTTACAATTTATTCTGCGAAACGAAATATCATTTATTTTCTCTCGTTTGGACGTTTACAAGGTAACTTAAACATAAATCATGTGTTATTTAATTGAATATTGCATGCAGCTTGCAATCGACACATTTATGAACTCAGTATGTCAACATTTTTTTTTTACGCAATAAATCGCCGATAGTAATTTAGTTACCAATACATATATCAAAAAAATTGGATGTAAAACATATTAAAACGAGTAAAACCTATATATACACATGTATTGTAAAACGCCTATTTTTTTTAAATAAAGCTCTTAGAGGTTATTCGAGAAATGCTTTCATCGTCTTGTTCGGGAGAAAACAAGGGCACACTCGTGATAAAACAAGGTCTATTCCGAGTGCTATTATTGTCCCTTTTTACTCTTATTGCCGCCGCTCACAATCTTCAAGAGGCGCACAGCTGGTGCCTCGAATGCTAGTGATATGGCGAATGATGCTAGAAACGCCATCACAGCGTAGCCAGCGTATATTGTTAACTGGAAAACACAATAAATACATGTCAAGTATCAGTAAATCGAGTAACAGTAAGTCATGTAGTTGGAGACTTTTAAGGGAATACGAAAAGTGTACCTTAATACTTAGTAATACGTACAATTTTTACATATCCATGATTGTAGTAATTGAATGTTTGCTAGAGAATAATAGATAAAAAAGAAGCGGAAGTTTTATCTTTTACTACCATTGTCTGCCACCCATAAGGACGTGTCTCACCGACAGTAGACTTTAGAGATGTGGTGCCTTCAGTTTGAACTGATACAGAATATAATTAACTAGGGTTTTAGATACTTACAACTATAGAGTTCTGAAGATGTAGCGGTCCGTCCATGAGGAAGGAGGTATACATCATTATGGTTGGGTGCACGAGGTACGCGCAGTAGGTGAGCCGGCTAAGCGGCAGTACACCTCGGTATGACAGCGCTGAGTTAACCAGACCGCCGTACCCGCAGCAACAGGCCACCGCTACCCACGCTAATGCGATACCCCAACCTTGAACAAAACATTAACATAAAAGTCAAAGAAGTACTGCAGCAAAGGAATAAGTAGCAGTGTGACCTTTTTATGATTTTGACTATAACAATTTAAACCAATTCTCTCGACCATATCAGTGAGATGGCATCGTTGTTAATGAAAGTAGCATTTTTTTTCTCGTCTTGAAACTGTTGATGATATAAGTTAAAACTTTGGTAGAATATTCTGAAGATATCAAGGACTTTTAACCCTAAAACTTGAGGTATGTTAAATTGTTTTTTAGATCAAGGTTAAGACTTCAATACGTGAATTACATCTCTTACCTGTATGTCCAATACTGACGTAGAAAGCCGTTGGCCAAACTTCAAAGTAGCCATCGACCATGCCAAAGATAAGGCTCGCCATAATGGCCAAGGCGCACGGCCAACCCACAGCAACGAGCCAATATGGCATCTTCACTTGGCATTTAGTTTTGTGCAAGTACCAACCAACTACCATTCCTGTGAAAAATTATGGTAAAATGAACTTTAAAATTTTTATCCTAATGCACGCTTTAACGTAATTGTTCTATTGTTAAACGGTTTTAAATATATTTTTTTTAAAATATGTATTAGAAATTAGAGTATTAGGAGAATAATTAAACATAAGTCTTTTCTGAAGATACTAAAAATAATCGACATTTTGTAACACGCGGATTATTTTATTTATTTATTTATTTATTGATTATAAGTACAGTACAATATCGTATTCTTTTCCTTCAGGTTCTTAAACCTTTTGGTTTGTGAGAACCCTGCACATTCTCGTTGGGTAGTTACATTTTTTTTTTTTTGCATGCGACAGATACGGCTTACACGTCATGTATA